ACACTGCTCAGCACAGGATGCTAGAGGTGCTCTAGACTTGCCTTGTGGGCAGCTTTTCTCCAAAGGTAGAGAAAACAAGAAAGAGAGAGAATGTAACCCAAATTTAATTTTAACCTTGCAAGAAGTGATATGAGAGTCCCAGGAACCTTGGAAACAAGCAGCCATGTCCACCATCTTGGAATTGGTCAGAATGAGGGAAGTTAATGTCTACCACATGGACCACAGACTCTAGGAAGTCAGAAAATAAAGACATGGTCCCAGGATAGAACCTTTAAGATGCTAGGATGGAGACCAAGGAGGAAGTTCTGATATCAAATTCACAGATGAGTCCAGTGAAGAAGACAAGGAGAGAGGACTGGAGTTCAGAATGCCTTCTCAAGGAGCTCTCCAGCATGCTGGAAGGTTTTCACAAAGGCATGCCCTTCCTAGTGAATTGGTTCTGTCTCTCGAAAGAACCATCTGGAGGGGTAATCTCAGAGCTTTGTCACTCACCTTTAAGGAATTGTGGAGATCAGGAGATGAGCAAAGGAGGGAAGTTTAGGTAGGGAAACTACAAAATAATCATAATAGCATGCATTTATCTAGTGTCTACTGTATGCCAGGCATTGTGCTAAGCATTGTAGGATCCTTACCTCAGTTGATCCTCACAACAAACGCGGGAGATAGGTGTTATCATTATACCTATTTTACAGTTGAGGAGACTGAGATTAAGTGGCTTTCCAGGTTCACACAGCTAGTAAGTGTCTGAGGAAAGATTCAAACTCTAGTCTTCCTGACTGCAAGCTCAGCACTCTATCCACTGCACCACCTAGCCACTTCTGTAGACAAGAAACTTGACAGCATCCCCCACAATGGGCATAAGCATTTAGAAGAGAAGTTGGGTTTTGCCAGGAGCCAGCCTGGGTTCACAAATCCAAGTCATGCCAAGCTAACTTTATTTTCTTTTTTGACAGAATCGATAGAATTTCACTAAGTTGAGAGAGTTGGCAATATGCCATGGTTACAATGTGTCTTGATTTCAGCAAGTTCTCTGACAATGTATTTTATGAATGGAGAATGAAATGTGAGTGGAATGATACGTACTGTAGGTAAATTCAGAACTAGTGTTATGATGACCATCTCCAAAAGCATGGATAACCATTTGGTAACCATCTGGTTACCAAAGAGGAATTCCTGGTAGTGGATACCAGAGCCTCATCTTTGGCTTTGTCTTGTTCAATGCTTTTACCAATAAGGTTATGACCTCTCAGGTCTCTGAGATGCTTCATTGGGGATACCTTTCTCTAAGTCTGTCTCTTTCTGTCACTGTCTCTCTGTCTCTCAACATATAGCTCTATCTATGTTTGGTTGGTTAATTTTTAGCTTGTACTTTGTCTCTCAACACTTATCCCCAGAATTCATTGTTGTTCATTCATTTCAGTCACATCTGACCCTCCATGACACCATTTGGGGTCTTCTTGGCAAAGACACTAGAGTGGTTTGCCATTTCCTTCTCCAGCTCATTTTACAGATGAGGAAACTGAGGCAAGCAGGATGAAGTGACTTGCCCAGAGTTACACAGCTAGTGAGTGTCTGAAGCTGGATTTGAACTCATGAAGATAAGTCTTCCTGACTCCAGGCCTGGTACTCTGTGCACTGTGGCGATCCTTAGCTGCCTTCATCCCAGAGTGCATGTATTCAACTTCTCTTTGTAAATTCATCCTTGAAAGCAATTGGGAGTAGTCTGTCAGGGTCCTTAAAAGGTGGGGTCATCCCCTTGGCCTTTGCTTTGTCCTCTTCTGTGTCTAGCTTCTAAGGGGCCTTGTCTGGGGTGAGAGATACTAATAACATTTGTTAGAGGGAAGCCCCCATATTGCCTAAACAGGAGGAATGGGGGCAAGAAGAGGGGCTGGCACAGTTAGGCTGGAGGGAGAGCAAGTTGAATTGGCAACCATGGGGAAGAAGAGTGTGGCCAGAACAGAAATATCATGGCTGAACCTTTGAAAACATTTTTGGTAGTTTGGGGATGCTGTCAGGGCTCAGTGGGGTGAGGCAGACAGGTCCCCAGCTCCCTGTCATGGTCCTGCCCTGGGTCTGTTTTCCTCTCCTCATCCCATCGCTGATGCCCTTGAGCCCTCCTCAAAGGATGGGAACATCCGGGAGCCTTGTATGAGATGCTCCCAGGCAACATATGATCTCAACAGCATGCTCTGTCTCCTTTCCTTCCCCTTCTTCTTTCCCCTCCCCCCTGCCCGGTCCTGCTCTGCCCCACCACAGGCTCGCCAAAAAGTCTTGGTTTGGTAACTTTATCAACCTGGAGAAAGAAGAGCAAATCTTTGTGGTCATCAAAGACAAGCCGCTGAGCTCCATCAAAGCTGATATTGTGCATGCCTTCCTCTCGGTAAGGGGTCAGGGATTCGGTGCCGCTGACTTCAGAGCCTTGTTGGGGCTGATCCATGGCCAACCCTGTGAAGGGCTCCTTGGCCACATGGCTGCTGACAGACTCACCCAGAACACAGAACAGGGAGCCCAGGTCTTCATTCTGGTCACTGTTCCCAGGCTGAGCCTCGGAGGAATGGCCAGCAGCCCCCTTCTTCAGCTGCCACCATAGTCACTGGGGGCTCCAAGGGGCTACCCACTGCCTCATTAATCATGATGGTGGCTGGCATTCAAAGAGCCCTTTAATGCTCACAAAGCACTTTTACAAATGTCTCACAAGTGGGGGGCAGGGGCTACTGTGACCCCTATTTTAAAGATGAGCAAATAGAGGCAAGACTTGCCCATGGGCATACAGCGAGGAAATAGAAGGCTGGATTTGAACTCGGATTCTCCTGACTCCAGGGCTCCGAGCACTGTTCTAGAGGAGAATGTTTGGGGAGGCAGAAGAGCTGTCTTCCATATGCTCACTGAAGGCAGGAGCATAGACTTCTCTAAACTTTGATTTTCCCCTAGCACCAAGCACTGGGCTCTGAACACCACACATGCAGATTAGTGCTGGGGGATTTACAGGGGAGAGAGCAGGTCTGACTCGGTGGGGTCCAGGCTCTGTGTCATGTGGCCCCCAGAATGGAGAGCCCTATACCATGATGCTGGGTATGGGACATGTAAGGATATGGAGATCACATTGGGGTTGCCCCCAGAGACCATCTAGATGGCTTGCCTGGACGCTTCTATCCTCTCTTGGCCCATAGCATTTGGGAACCCCAGTGTTCATCTGCATGAGTAAAGGAACCAAGAGGACCCCCCAGATCTGGGTAGAATCTGTCTTGTTTGGGGAGCCTTCATAGTCACCAACTGAAGCCCAGGTCCTCACGGACTCCTGAGATCAGCTTCATGGCATTTGCAAAGTCCTCTCCATCTCCTGAAGGCTGCCCCTTCACTGGGGGGCTCCAGACCCGCTGTCCTGATCTGCTTCCCTGAAGCTTGGGCCTTAATGGCTTTCAGTGCAGCATCCAGCGTCCTCCCCTGACATGCTCAGTTCCTTACTGGTTTCCAAGGCCAGGCCTCCCTACCAGATAAACCCCACATTGAGTTCCAGTTGGGTTTTCTTTGAAGAAACGCCTCTAAGTGTGGGCTCATTTGCAAAACTGAGCTAACAGATGAGGCTGGAGCTTAGTGAAGGCTCCTCCCTTTCCTAGTCATTGGCTCATCCTACCTCCCCACTCCCAAGGGTCCCTTTCCCCAGTCCTGGTCAGAAAGCTTCTGACAACCGACCGGGGAAGCTGAGGAAGGCCTCCCATCTGAGCCCTCCCTTCGGGCACCCCTCCCAGGGCCTCATCGTCCTCTCCCCCGTTGTTCCCTCACAGATCCCCAGTCTCAGCCACAGTGTCGTCTCTCAGACGAGCTTCCGCGCAGAGTACAAGTCAACAGGTGGACCGGCTGTCTTCCAGAAACCCGTCAAGTTCCAGGTGGACATCACCTACACGGAAGGTGGAGAGGCGCAGAAGGAGAATGGCATCTACTCAGTCACGTTCACACTTTTGTCAGGTGATTCCCCCAGTGCCAGAGCAGAGCTTGGGGCTGGACCGGGGTGGGGGGTGGGGGGGAACAACCTCAGCTTCTGGCCGGGCCCCACGTGGCTTGGTCACTGTCCTGCACTGAAAGGCCACGACGATGCTTCCTGGGAATCCTTGGGGCCTGGCCTCAAAGGGGGGCGGGGCTAGCAGGGACGTCATCCCCTAGTGACCCTCCCTGGTCCTGCAGCTAATGGGCCACAGGGGAGGAAGGGAAAGGGGCCTCCTGGGGTCAAAGGGGTGGGGTGGGGGTCCTGGGCTGGGGACACCCAGCTATTTCTGCCCTGCCACCAGGACCCAGTGGTTCCCTTGCAGTCCACAGTGACCAGGCTTCTCTTCCACCCTACCCTGCCTTCTCCAGGTCCAAGCCGTCGCTTTAAGAGGGTGGTGGAGACCATTCAGGCCCAGTTGTTAAGCACACATGACCAGCCATCTGTCCAGCAATTATCAGGTGAGCTGCTGGCCCACCAGGGAGCCCACTGACTCCTCCAGAGGCCTCCCCTCCCCAGTCAGGGGAGGAGACAGTATGGTACAGTGTGGTCCAATGGGGAGAGGCCAGGAGAGCAGAAGCGAGTGGAACAGATCCCCTGCCCCCCGTGGCTGGGCAAGAGGGGTTGCTGTTGGGCAGATGCCACCCCTGTCCTTCCCACACCCCATCCCGCTGCTGCCACCTCGTCTACTTGCTCCTGGCTCTGCTTCCCCACCCGGCCTCCGCCTCCCTCAGTGCCCTGCTGCCCTGCCACACCTGCCCCTGTGTTCAGTGAGCAGAGCCCCCTGCCTGGCCTGAGCTGGGGCAAGCCAAGCAGAGGCATGGGCCGCCCTCAGCTGCCAGAGGCTCCAGGCATCTCTGACTGACTGGGGCACGCCTTGCCGTGTGACCACACTAAAAGGAGCCCTCTTGTCCACTGTAGAAACCCCCCATTCAGCTCCAGGACTAAGCTGGGGAGCTGTGTTTAAGGGCCAGAAGGTGGCCACCAGCTACGAGAGTAGCCTCTGAGACTGTAGCAGGTAAGGCACTCCCAGCCTCGGCCAGGCGGCCTCTTTCTCATCCTCAGCGGGGGAGCCAGGGAGGGGAGGGGAGGGGAAGGGGCCAGCCAGGTTTCCCCTCCTCAGTTCCTCTTCCCCTCTCTGGGCCAGCCAAGGCCACATTTAGGCCTGTCTGAGCCTCTGCAGGGAGCAGAGAGCAAGGCCCTGGAGAAAGGGACTCGGGAGCCCTTCATGGCCACCCAGGAGATGCTGAGTTCTCTGGTGTCCCCAGGGGCACTGGTCTGCCTGGCCAAAGGGGAGAAAGTCCAGAAGAAGGCCTCTGCAGGGGCCAGGGAGGCACCCCCAGCCTTTCCTTTCTGCCCTTAGGTTCCCTCTGCCTTCCTATCTTCTCCCTGCCCTGCTCAGAGGAACCAGTTGCCCAGTACAGGGGGTGGGGAGGGGTGGGGAGCAGGGAGGGAGACAGACCTTGGAGGGAGCAGGCTCAAGGAGTGTCGGGAGAGCATCCCTGCAGGACATCCCCGAGCCACAGGCCAAGAGCCATAGGAGTGGGCAGACAGAAAGACGGACAGCTGACAAATAGGCAGACACACAGCTTGACAGAAAGACAGCCAGCCAGCCAGGCAGACAGATGGACAGCCATCTGGACAGCCAGTCAGACAGACAGACAGCCCCCCAGCCTGCCAGACACAGACCAAGTGAATTCAGCTGTTCTTCCTGAGGCCCTCAGGGTGGTCATCAGGCGAGCTCCAGTGGGACCAGCTTTCATAGGCCCACCTCCAGGCTCCTGGTGCCCTGTCTTCCCTATTTCTCACTTCCGTTCTTGTGGCCACCAGCTTCTCCAGTTCCAGCAGATCCACCCAACCCTTCCTTCCATCCCTCCACCTATGCATACATGCATTTCTCAAGTGCCCACTGAACGCCCAACTCTCTGCTAAAGTGCTAGAAACCCAGGCCCCGAGCCTGCCTGGCCCTGCCTGCCAACAGCCTCCCTTGGGCTCCAGCCTTCTCTCCTCCCCTCTCCCTCCCTCCCTCCCTCCCTTCCCCTGTTCTTTCTCTAGCTTCCCATCCAAGCCCCGCACCGACCTCCTGCTCCTTCTCTTCCATTCCATCCCTTCCTCTCTCCTCTTTCTCCTTCCTAGGTGTCCCCTCCCATAAACCTAAGGCCAGAGAGGAAGGAGGGAGACCAAGAGGCAGGGAAGGGTGGGAGCCTGGCCCAAAGGGGAGATCCCATATGTGGAGAGTGGAGCTCATCCCCTGTGGCCAGAAGCTGCCCAGTGGGAAGGGCTCTAAGGATTGGATCAGGGGAAGGAGAAAGGGGAGAAGGAAGCCAGAATCCATGAAGGCTCCAAGGTCAATGAAAGCTGATCTCGAAGGCAGGTCTATAAGGGAATTAGTGAGGAGGTCTCATGGGCTCAGGGCCCCTGGGAAGAAAGAGATGGAACGATGTGTTCTCCCCACCCACCTGAGCCCTCTTCCCTGAGATTGGCTCCCTGGTCTTTCAGGGGAACAGAATTGTAATCAAGTTTAGGTCTGGGGCCTCACACTGAGAAGCCCCGTGCAAAGTAGGGGGTGGGAATGAGGGAGCCTCTAAATTCCCTTCCAGCTTGGAGATACCTGGTCTCTCCACCCCTGCATGGGGGCCTGTCTCTGATGCTTTCACCCTTCAGCACCAGTGGCCTGCCTGGGTCAGAGATGGCAACCCCTTCTCTGCATCCTGCTGAATGTGGTAGAGGGCACTGTCTCTGTGTCTGTCCATGTCGCCTGCATGTGCCTGTGGCTGAGGACTGAGCCGGGGTGCTCCTGTCCCCCCTGGCCCGGTGCTCGTCCCCTCACCATCTTTCCTCTGCTTTCACCTTCCCTGCTCTGCTTGTTTCACTCTACCTTTTCCCCAGCTGAACTCTATGGGGTGCACAGGCTCAGACTCCCGGGACTCCCCTGCAGGTTGGTGCCTGCTCTGAGCTGAACTCAGGGGCAGCGCTAGCTGCTGTGAGCTAGCTGATGGGTATCCCCTTCCAGCACTGTGCTGCCTCTAGGGAACTTTTCCTCCCTCCAGGCTAGCTGCCAAGGGCAGGGGGAGGTGGCACCATAGGGATGGCACTGTAGGGGCCCTGCCCTCCCTCCAAGGGCCCAGGACATAACTCAGAGTGGGAAATGTGAGGCATGAAGGCAGGCCTCAGGGGCACTAGTCTGGCTGGTGTTCTCTCTACCCCTCCCCGATACTATGCCTCTCCCCAAGCCCCTTAGGAATGAGGGCCCTGAAGAAACCACTGGCAATAGAGCCATAGCCCAGGCTCAGCTCAGCCTTGCTCCCTATGCTCCTTGAGGCCTCATGGGAATGGCCTCACCTGCTACACCAGCCTGCTCTGTGGCTAGGGAGAGAAAGCAGCAGGCCATATGTTACAGTGGCTAGAGTGCTGAACTTGGAGTCACGAAGACCTTGGTTCAGATCTCACCTCAGACATTTATGATCTCTGTGACCCTGGGAAAATCTGGGCTTTTATCTGTAAAATGAGGGCATTGAACTAGATAGTCCCTGCAGTCTTTTTCAGCTCTAAATCTGTGATTCTGTGATTCCGGAGGACCCAAGGACAGCCATGCACTGTCCTGCCAGCAGCTGAGTGGGCTTGCAAGGGAAAGACTAGCTAGGATACCACTATGGAAAGAATGCTTTCAGCCCCACAGTAGGCCAGAGTAAGGCAGTCTCCTTAGGCTGCCAGGCCAACACATCGCAGGAACATTACTCTCCCTAGGTGGGTGTTGACAAGATCTAAGCATACTGCTCAGGATGGGAGGAGGTACTCACAGAGACACAGATGGCTGTCGAGTTCCCCAGAGAACAGACACAGCCCTAGCAGGAGGCCTCTCCTTCTCCAGGCATCCTGTGCCTGGGATCAGCTGCAGGGCTCTGAGCTTTTGCCAAGCAGTCCAGTCCAGGAACTAGGTCCTATTACTCCATGTCAGTCAGTCAATAAATGTTTATTAAGTGCCTACCAAGTGTCAGGCACTGTGCTAAGCACTAGGGATACAAAGAAAGGCAGAAGACAATCCCTGCTTTAATGGTAGAGCGTGCAAAGATATACAATTGAGCTAAAGTCAGTATAGTCAGCAGTCAGCAGAGGAAAGGGACTGAAAGGGAGGGGATCCCAAAAGACTTCTTGTAGAAGATAGGATTTTAACTTGAAACGTGAAGGAAGAAGCCAAGAAAGCCAGGAGGCAGAGACTAGAGGAGAGAGCACTGCAGGAGTGAGGGAGGAAATGCCTGGAGTTGGGAAATGGAGTGTCTTGTGGGAGGAACAGCAAGGGGGTCAGTGTCACTGGACTGCAGAACACATGGGGTGGGCTGAGGGGTAAGAAGACTGGAAGGAGGAGGAGAACAGCTTTGGAAGGGCATTAAAAGCCAGAGAATTTTTATATTTGATCCTGGAAGTGATAGGGAGGCAGTGTATGGTGGTGATGTGGTCTGACCTGCCCTTTAGGAAGATCATTTTGGCAGTTGAGTGGGGGATGGACCAGAGGGGAAGAGACTTAAGGCAGGCAGACCTCACCAGCAGTTGTTGCAATAGTCCAAGCATGAAGTGATTAAAGGCAGCTGGTTGGTGGGTGTCAGAGTCAGAGCAGAGAAGGGGGGGGCATACCAGAAATATTACAAGGATAGAAATCACAAGCTTAGATGACTGATAGTATATGGGGCGAAAAAGTATGAGAAAGTAAGGAGTCAAAGATGACACCTAGTTTGTAATCCTAGGTCACTGGTGGCATCCTTGGTAGGAACAGGGAAGACAGGAACAAAAGAGGGTTTGAGGCAGAAAAGACAGTGAGTTCAGTTTGGACATGCCAAGTTTAAGATGTTTATGTGGCCTCCAGTATGAGATATCCGATAAGGATTTAGAGATGTGCGGTCAGAAGAGATGTTAGACCTAGGTAAGTAGATCTGAGAATCATCGGCAAAGAGATGGTCATTGAATCCATGGGAGCTGATGAGATCCCCAAGTGAAACAATATAAAAGGAGAAGAGACCCCAGGGCAGAACCCCGAGGAACACCTATGGTTAGAGGGTGGGATCTGGAGGAGAATCCAACAAAAGAGACAGAGAAGGAATGGTCAGAAAGGTAGGAAGAGAACCAGGGTGGGGGGAGGGAGGAGGGAGAGAGAGAAGAAAAGAGAGAGAGAGAGAGAGAGAGAGAGAGAGAGAGAGAGAGAGAGAGAGAGAGAGAGAGAGAGAGAGTGAGAAAGGAGAAAGAGAGAGGGAGGGGTGTTCTGAAAACCTGGAAAGAAGAGAGGATCCAGGAGGAGAGAGTAAACAACAGCATCAGGTGCTGCAGAGGGCAAGGAGAATGAGGACTGAGAAAAGGCCACTCGATCTGGCACTTCCGAGATCATTAGTAACTTTAATGAGAACCATTTCCTTTAAATGATGAGCTTGGAAGCCACATTGCAGAGAGTGGAGGCGCAGACAATGGATGACCTTCTACCACAAAATAAAAAAATAGAAGAGAAGGGGCACTGTGGCTAGCAGGGATGGATAGATGAAATGAGGTAGTTCTGAGGATAGGGAAGCCTTGGGCATGCTTGTAGGCAGCGGGGAAGCAGTTAGTGGACAGCAAGAGACCAAAGATAAGTGCGAATGGGGATAAGAGGGGACCTTCTGCTGCAGGAGATGGGATGGAATGGGATCACTTGTGTTTGTGAACATTCCTTGCTCCAAGTCTTCCAAGGAGACTGGAGGAAGGCTCCAAGGAAGCTGAAGTTTGTGATGGAGGCTAGCACTACCCTCTCACTAGTCCTTACCACAGGCTCAAATCTCAGATTCCTCGGGTGAAGGAAAGAAAAGAAAAACTTGTAAGTTGATTTTCCCCATTTGATAGCAAAGGAGGCCAAGGCCCAGGGAGAGGTGTGGGCTCAGCCAGAGGGGCCAAGCTGAGATAAAAAACCTGGCTCTCCAGCTGCCTGGCTCATGCTCTGAGAGGAGGAGCACTTGCCTCTCAGTAGGACCGAGCCTTTTCTGCATTCTTCATCTCTTC